CACACACACACACACACACACACACACACACACACACACACACACACACACACACACACACACACACACACACACACACACACACACACACACACACACTTAGGCTATTCTCAACCTTGACTGCCATAGTAGAAGAAGAGAGGTCGAGAGAAGGCTAAGGTGCAAGGCTTTTTCTGCTTACCTCCTTTACTTCTGATGCAGTGCTTTTGTGTTTCTTTTTCTTGAGGGTTCAGGCCAGAGTCCAGTAGTTGTCTACTCTGTCACAACAGGAATCAACGAGGACGCTGCCAAGGACATGGCCAATGCAACTTTGTATGTTTGCCATCACAATCACCATGGAAACCAAGGATCACTGACAGTGTATGGAAAAAGCCAGGAGGGTGAGGGTGTCTTGGTGCCACCTGGACTGTATTGTTTGTGGGGAAAGTGTCTCTCTACAAGGGAAAGGGAGAGTCTAAATCTATTGCAAAGCTACGTGTGTCGGAGCGGGCAGCTCGACGGCACATTGTTGATGCAGAGTCCTACTGCCACAGACTTGCACTTTAACGACAACTGACTCCTATCAAAGCCCTGAACCCGTGGTTTACATTTTTGATCTGATCTTTACCTTAACAACTCGGTGACCGCACCTACCTTTAAGGATATACTTTATGTCCTCTTGACTGTTATATAGAAATCACTGAATCTTTGTGCAGATTGCTGTTTATATAGCCTATGCCTTTTCAATGGGGTCCTTAATCTTTTCTTTACTTAAGTTAACCACACGGTTTCTGCCAATCCATCCCAACAAATACTGGAGATTTTACTAATGTACATACGTTTTTGGGGGATTTTAAAAAGGGAGTGTGTGTGAGACGGCAAGAGACGGAGAGAGTGTATGTCAGAGTTCATACACAACGTGGAGATCTGTTTCTGCTTCCCTGGTTGAAGATTCAACAATGATCCACAGGACCTACACTATTAACTCTTTCTGTGTCTCTCACTGTCTCTGGTTCTCTCAGTGGAGGTTGTGATGATAGGACCTGAGAGCCATGTCTTTCACACTGAAGGAGGAGCTGCCTTTGTTCCAAAACGTTTGGTATCTTTTCTTTTTTCCTGTCATGTAATATCAGAATATGCAGTCTCCCTCCATGGTTCAACTTTCTTTTGGTTATATATTTTCTTCGGTTTTGTTTAAAAGAAAAGGATCAAATTGTGCTTGAAATGTCTGAGTCTGATAATCTTAGAGAGTGTAATATTAACTTGTTTGTTTAACAGCTATTTATTGAAAACCTGTTTGTGGATTTCCAATTATTTTGAGAAGTCATTCTCTCTCTCTCTCTCTCTCTCTCTCTCTCTCTCTCTCTCTCTCTCTCTCTCTCTCTCTCTCTCTCTCTCTCTCGGGTGGATCAGGATGGGTGTTTGTATGCAAGAATGCTTGAGTGTCCCAAAAAAAGTCTATATTGATTTATAAGATTATTTCCATGTTTATCTGCGATGTTATGACAATTCAAGTGAGGCAGGTGACATGTCTTATTATTATGATTATCAGAACAATGGTTACTGTTGTTGATGTTACTATTATTAATTATTATTAAGTGCTGGATGCTAAGCTTTATTGTGTGTTCTTTTTTTGATATTTTATATCTTGTACAAGAAAAAAGCTTTTATACTTTGCCTTGTTGTGGACAGCAAGCCATAAGGCTTTTATCAACCTTTTATTGTGCCAGTTTACGCTTTTTCTGTCGTATTTGCTTTTTTTTTTACCAAGGGTAAAAACAACTTCACTGTCAAACTTTTAGATATTGATTGAAACATATATTCAGCACACGCTTTTGCATCACTTATGTACACTAATTGATAAATATCAAACCAAAAACAATCTATTACCTTGTATACATGAAGTGCTTTCGTTTTACAGTCTGTATGTGCAGGTGCTTTTTTGGATTTTATTGTTGTGGTTAACAGTTTTGTTGTTGGGTTGTTTTTATTTTTTGAACCTGTCACTATTTGTCACAGTTTGAAAAAGTGCACATGTTATGGTATTATTGTGAATATGAAGAAGGGCTGTGTGAAAGTACCAGCCAGCTTTTGAAGATCGCATCTGAAAACCAAGCTGATTATTTTGTAGTTTCTACTGTCTCACGCCTTGCATGACACACAATCACGTAGAAATGCAGCATGCAGACAATGCTTCCTCTCAGACAGTGTTTCGTTTACATGCCGTGTTTCTATCTGCCATACTGGCGAAAATCTTAACAATAAAAGGGAAAGCGAGCGCTGCAGAAGTAACTCTGGGAAACCTTTTGTCGCCTGTCTGCTACAGGTGCCATGGACTGCACTTCCCATCAACCCCCACTTAGAAACTCTAAGTACAATTTGATTTGTGATGCTTTCTTCACATCTGGCTACCGTCTATATTTTGTTTGTATAATTTATTGTGTTTTTGTTTCGACCCATTTTGTAAAAGTTTTGGGTAGAAAAAAAGAAGAAGAAGAAAGTCAATGGGGTAGGATTTTAATGAATGTCAATGGTGGGTGTGGAAGGAGCCCATGATCGGCGACAAATCTCTGTCCTGTGGTTCTGTGTAGCCACTGAGAGACATCTGGATGTATGTGTGACTCCCCTGCCCTGCGCTCTTCTCACGACCTGTACTGTATGTCTTCTTCCTCATACTGGGTTGTACTTCAGGAAAAACGTCTGCCATCAACCCCTCAATATGTGCCTCAATGACATTTCACCCGTGTGCTTGTGAGAGTGTGTGTTTCCGAGAGATGTGTATGTGTTTGTGTCGACGGATAGAGATTACTTAGATGCGACCGATCAGATTAGAGGTGCAAAATGTTTCGGAGGAAGACAAATCATGATGGGCGACTAGATTCTCCTTCCCACCATTTGTTGATGACCTTTTGTGCCCTGATTCTGTGGTCTTAACTGCATGCCTGTGCTCATTTTGTCATACCAAAGCGACGTCTTCGACATCTGCACACAACTGTCTCATTCCACATGATGCAAAACTGGAACTGTTTGCTCTATTGCAGATGATTATGGGTATTCTTAGACGTGTACAAATTGCAATCCTCATTTAGCCTGTATAGCTTGATTCACACGTGCAAATCATGAAGCCATAGATATGGGTATATCTATATTATTCTATATTTCAAATTTGGCGCTTTTTACTTTAGATTTTGTTCTTCTACTAAGAGTGATGTGTGTATACCTTCATATATATGAATTTATATTACGATTATATATTATTTATTTTCTCAAGTTTCAGAGGGTCTTTGATTTGTAAAAGGTCACGCTTGAGGTTTGTTTATTTTCATTGGGAATATTGTTCAATATGATACTGACTTTATATTGATGATTATCATAAACCTGTGTTTGTAACAAAATGTGTTAAATAATCAAAAAAAAAACCTGTCCTGTTTTTACACCTGTTTTGTTTTCGGGCAGATTTATGTGCTCTTGTGCAGATATTTTTTTTCGGTTGATAGTACTGATCACAAAACATTTTTACAGCCAACCATGAGCCTCCTGTTTTGATGTTGGGGCGGGCCCAGCGGGCATCCAAGCCTCTTTCTAACTTCATGTTTAGTGGAAGAATTAGCTTGACTATTATTTGCAAAAACCAATCAGTCTCAATAAATTTTGAAATTGCTGCTGTAAAGAAGTAACACGTGTGTGCCTTGTCTTCTGTTTGACGGGACAAATGTTGTCATAACCCCCTGCTGTCCACAAGGGGGCAGACAAGTCCAAGAAAGTAAACACAAAGGAATTCATCCTGACTGTTGATTTTACATGTCCTTCTTTGGAAGATACGCAATTATAAACATATCATGCATTCAATATTATTCATCTGATTAAAATAGAATCTGACAGCAGACTTCTTCCATTCAGGTTTATTTTTCTTCCTGTCACATTACATCACATAGATCACATTATTAGCATCATACATGGTCATCCATCTTTTCAAGCACTAGTCATAGGCTTGACATTCACACAAATACTCCTTGAGTGCACCACTCCTCAGAAAGTGCTTCCTCCATGTGCGTGGGACTGCTGATGAAGAAGAGAGGCCGAGCCCACACACAGGAGAAACGTTGCCCTCCAGTAAGACCCGAGGCTGATGTCACGTTTCCTTTAAAAAATTGCTTTTAGCTTTGTGTGTCTTTTTCAGGCGGCAATGATTATTTTGATATTTTGAGGAGAATAAAGTACATCAGCCTCGGGTGATCAGTTACTGGAAGGGGAAATCTAACATATAAAACACTTCAGTGTTGTATCTCCAAACAAAAAACTAAAAAAATAGCAATGATAGACATGCAAAAAAACCACTAATTTAAACAGACAATGAATCAATCAATGATAAAACAAAAATAAGCAGGAGTCAGTTTTCACACCAGCCAGTTTAAGGCTCAGTAAAAACACAAGAGAAAAAAAAAGGTCATCAAATGTCTGACAAATAAAGGACGAATAATAAAAGCGTGAGGAAGCAGAGAATTGGGAGGAGCTGCCATTGCAATGCATTACATTACATTTGATTTGGAAGGAGATCTATTGGCTTTGCTGCTGCTGGTTTTCACACAGATACACACATTGACATTCAAGAAAGCAGCACATCCATTTCAACATGTGGAAGTAAAAATAAAGGCTTTTTTTGATGCACATTTGAAGGGTTTAATTTAGCTTAATAAACTGGGTAAAGGCTTGGGTGGGACCACTGTAAAGCTTGATAGAACAACAGGTAATGCAAAAGGACGAGGTGAAAAGAATCAATGTAGTGAGGAGGAAGGATACGTCAGTTAGGAAACAAGGGGAAGACTCAGCAGTGTGCTGTCAGTTGGAATGTGCAGGACAGGATAGATTTACCCACAACATTTAAATGTTCATTGTGACCAAAGGTCGAATGTTATCCTGCCTAACAACAACTAAACGTCACAACCACAAACAACATTCACAATGATGATAAACACGTTAAGAAAATGGCCATTTGGCAGGGAGAAAGACATTTGACAAATAGCAACAGTGTAAGCAAGTAGCCCAGACGTCACAAAACTGAAGTTAGTTCTTGTTCCCCTATAAAGCATCTCATTGCACAAAGTAAAATTGTAAAGCAATACTGCATGGTTGCGTTATATGATATGATGTAGCAGTGTGGCGACAGCTGTGGGTGTTAAAAGAAGGTTTACTACAGGCAGTACAAACTAGCGAGCAATTATAACAACAAAAGACTTGTTTTTGTGGGTTTTACATTCAACAGGTTTTTTTTCTCCCCTTTGCCTCAAAGCTACATTGAATCTTTTACGTATTATGTTCGCTATAGCTTCTCAATCAAATATTCTGAGCAACTATAATGTAAAAAAAGTGTACTTTTCATAAAACAAGATAACAAGGAAACAACAATATATGGAAAAGCCTCACACTTCTCTTTATGTTGCATATGTACAAGAAAGCCCTGAAACTGTTAATCCATCTTTATCGTCACTGCGTGTCCCGTGTCTGCTCTCCATCAACTTTCCCTGCACAGTCAACTTCGGTTTCTACTCTCATTTCACAGGTCAAACATTCCTCATCAATTTCTACAAGAGCAACTTTGTACCCGCAGTTTTCTTCTGGCCCTGCTGACACAAGCCAAGCTCCAACTGTCTTGTTCATCACAGGCCAGTTTTAGTGCAAAGAAAAAACTACAGTTACCACCTAACAATGTCATGCCTCCACCAAGTTGCAGTTTACATCCATGTCCGTCCAGACTCATATAGTACATGTGGACTTTGAGGGGGTTTAACAAAAAGTGTTGTGTGGATTTTGTCAGAATTAAAGTATGGGTCTTGTCACAGTGATCTTTGACCACCAAAATCTACTCACTTCATCCTAGAGTCTAAATGGACGTTTGTGCCAAATGAAAAGAAGTTCCCTCAAGGTGATGATGGTCCACCAGAAATATGAAGACTGGTGGAGGTGAAATAGTGAGCACCACAGGAGCCTGTTAACATATCAAAACATCGGACTCTAATCCTGCTGGTGAAATCTAAAAGTGCTTTAGATGGAGAGACACCTGATTGAATGTGACACTCCATCAACAAACAGCAGTAACAGCTGTCTCCAGCAGTAATAACTGCAGCAACTACCTCAGCTCAGGGAATCGTAAATAAGAAAGGAAGCATAAATGTTATGGATAAAAAGTGTGAGTATTGTGAAACAAAACTCCAGGCAATGAAGCAGTGTAAAAGCATCTGTTATCTAGACATCAATGTGTAGCCGTTGACTAAGACCGGTGTTTTCCAATCAGGAGACAAGGCAGGTGCTGCTTTAAGCCCTTGGCACTCCTCCAAGGAAAGGCAGAGTGACTAACTACCTAAGTACCACGCTGTACTTCCCAGTACCACACTTCACAAACAGCCAGTGTGTTTAGTGCAATAAATCTGACACACAGAGCAAGACAATAACTGTGACTTAATGTAAAGTTTACTTGCTAGTAATGGGGGACCCTAAAGGTACAAAACACCCTTTCCCTGACACCCCATTTATTCCATCGGGCAGTGACGACATCCCTCCCGCCCTCTTGAAAATAAAAAAGGAAAATTCTTTCACTTCAAAATGTGTGTATATAAAATGTCCATGTATAAAAACATGTTTTTGCGCAGCGCAACATAGTGCAATTTCATCAGGTAAGTATAGCTTTTTCCTTTTTTCATGTTCTTTTCATTGGCACTTTGTGAAGTTTCTGACCAGAAGAGGAGGAAGATTATCTGGGATGCCACTGGAGATCAAGATTTACAGGCAGGCATCGTTTGTATCATAACAAAATGGTGGGTTATTATTGGAACTGATGAGATATCATTAACTACTATGATCGTTTTCAAGTGTGCTTAATTTATTTGACTTGAAGCCACTAATTAACAGGCATCTGCTCTTGAGCTTTTATGAGAAGTGATAACTGTTCGCCTTTAATGTGGCATCAGCACACAGCTGAGTGACCTTGTGGCGACAGGGGGAAAGCACAGTTGTTTCTATGGCGACAGAGGTCTGAAGTCGTCATGCACCTCAGTCCAAGCTTGTGTAGGAGAGGACACTGTGTTTGTCCTACGATGCTTTGGTGATCACGTCAGTGTCAGGAGCGCTTAGAGAGTAGAAGACACAACGCAGACTCTACATTCAAACAGCACAACGTCAATCTTCAAAAATACACATTTAGTGTCGTGATTCTGAGAGCAGGTCAGAGCATTTGCTGGTAAGGGGTTTCCCTATATCCAAGTAGAGGGGCTAAGTGTCTAAAGATAGAAAGTGTCTCATGTTGTACAGATTGTGAAGCCCTTGGATACAGATGTGTGGTTTGTTTGGTTTAAATAAATACATTGACTTGCCTGTTTTTTGGGCAGTAGGTTATGATCTTGACAAGATCAGTATAGTCTTTAATCAAAATCATTTAAATTAAAAATAACGTAACTAACGATTGGAAAGAATAATAAAAGTTGATCTCTCTTCAGGGTATGCTATAATTATTTCAAAATGTCCTTAAGTATGACTCTGGGTTTGTAGTTACTTCTTTTACTTTCATTAGTATCAGCACCAGTAGGAGATCAATCCTAAATGTCCTATCCATGCCATGTAATGATAATTACAAAGAAGAATGACATGCTTGGAAGGTTTCATTGTTTTATATTTTCATTAGAAACACAATATAGGTTTTTAAATTAAAGGGTGCTTTTTTCAAAGATTAATCAATATTGCTCTATTCTTTATTTTTTTAAATACAGGTTAAAGGGATATATCAAAAAATTACAATTTCTTACGATATAAAAATGTTACCACATGATATGTAATCTTACATTTGGAAGGCTTTTAAATAGAGAGCGCTTGTCATCCAGTAATTTGATATTGCAGATCTATTCTAGAAACATCTTTACTTTCACTCTGATGAAATATTTGTTTTACTCCACTATCAATCAGTCGACCACCTACACCCTGGTTTGATTCTCACTTTTCATTCCCAAATGTTAGACCGGAACAAAAACTCCTTCTCAACGGTTGAAAACATTTAGTTGAAAAAGTAGGAGATAGTCTTGTTTCCTATGAAGTTTGGCATCTAGAAATGTTGCAACGCTGGTTAGTGATCGTTATTCTGAAGACTAAAGAACTAAAAACATCTCCTTCTTAAAATGTTTCGAGATTATTTCCAATGACTGATTTATCAGCGGGTTGTTGGGTTAAAATCTCTACATACAAAAGTTACATTAGTCAGTCAAGTTACGTTAGTTACGTTTCAAAGGGCAGTTATCATTCATTGTGGTAAACGATCTCTTTAGAATAACTGGTTGTCAAAGGTTAAAAAACGGAGCCTTTCTGCCTCACCTTAATAACAACCACGAAGCAAGACAATATTGATAATAAATGATATAATTCTGCCGATTGCACAGTGCAATTGCTCGTTGCTTCAGCTCAACATTGCTGAAAAATAAACTCTATACAAGACATCCACTTTCAGGCAGACACTGACATTTCAGTGATCCTCTATAATATGTCTCATTTCTTCAAGGTGCATATAAGAACAAATAAGAAGATCTATCTAATATATTGTGTTCATCGCCAAAAAATAGTTTGTTAGGAAAGGGGAATCTTTTTGTACCACAAATATGTGCATTGTTGCAAAATCACATGAAGTAAAGCTGGCTGTACTGAAGTTGCTTAAGGAACAGGAAGTCGATGATGAACAATTTGTACTTAAACATAACGTTGCTATCCAGTCAGGCTGCAGAAGACAGTGATGCTAGATTCAGGATTAGGCTTACATTTAAACTGTTGGTTGTATGTGAACAGGCGTTCTGCCTTTGGTAGGGGTGAAGTCCCTTACACAGTGACAAAGAAAAAGGATCTGCTACAGAGCGAGTGCATCTGACCCTTGACCCTTCAACAAGTCATGATCCACTACAGGATGCTCATATAATCACCCACAGAGCATAACAAAAAGCTTATCTGTAGTCTTTAAACATTGCCTGGAGTTGAGGCTGTGAGAAATGAGAACAAATATCAGGAGATTCCAATTTAAATGTTTTTCTTATTGATGAAAATGTTTCAGTCTTCAAAAAGTCTAAAAAAGTTATTTTTTTCTTGCTGATTTCTTTTGTTTGTTTTTACCCACCAATTTTATTTTCTCTTTGTGGCTGCAAACAGGGAAGAGAGAAGGCGAACGCCCTGCTGGGCTGGAGGAGCAGAGCGCTTCATCGTGGAGAAACCCCCCCCCTCTTCTCCTCAGTGGAAGAGTCCGTCTACAGCTGTCGCTCCGCGCGAGGAAGAACTCATCTCACAGACACGGGAAGGGGACTGGATTAGTCGGTGAATCTCTGACAGGCTTTTTTCCAGCGACAGGCTGTGCACCACATGTCTCTCTTCTCCATGCCGTACACCTTTCGGCACTTCTTTGCTTCCCCACGGGGTTTCCTAGGTAACAGCAGATGTGATAGCATAAGGACATGAACACAGACGTCGCCCACACAGGCATAAAAACACAAACATGTGCATGTAGGTGTGGGGGCAGACCCTCATAAAAACACAAACATGTGCATGTAGGCAGACCCTCATAAAAACACAAACATGTGCATGTAGGCAGACCCACATAAAAACACAAGTCTTTCTTTGTAAACGTCATTTAGCAAATATAAAAACTATTCAATACAGGGAGGCCATCTTTGAAAAGGGGGATTATTTAAAGGAACTGTGATATAAGAACAAAGGAAGATAATAGAAAAAGAACAATTAAGATGAAATGTTTTAACCCAAATGTTTTGATTGTACACTTAATCCCAATGCAATTCCACAGACAAATGTTGGCAGAATACCTGGTTCCTAGTGCTGATTTAGGAGCAGGCGTTATTAAAGCGTGGTTCTTGATGACAGTGCTGTGTGTGATGGCTGCCGGCTGACGCTTCTCTCCGATGCTGACGGTCCGGACTTGGATCACAGGCCCCTGTAAAGCAGAAAGACATCATAAGTGACTTTTAGAACGTTATACTAATACAGTGTGGCTTACTTGTATATATCACTTGACATTACAACAACACAACCTTAATTCTCTCCCTGTCAAAAGGAAAAACACATCCACAATAAAGTCCTTACACCTCGACACATAGTATGCTGCCGAAGCCAAAGGTCGGCTGTCCATTTGAAGAAGTCTGGTAACCATTTACAGCGTCAAATACAAGGTATAGATTTGTAGTCCTGCGTGTTCAAATCGTTACAGAGACAAAAACATGATTTATTAGAGAAGCCAATTAATCGATTGACACTGTGATAGGCACAGAGCGATGAGACCATGCTTCACACCCTCTGATTTATCACCGTCACCCAACCCTTTTGAGCTACTGCAAATACATGCATCAAATTAGCAGGTGTGCTTGGTGACGCCCACACAAACTGTGCACCAAAAGATATATCACAAGATTAAAACCGGGCCCAAAGGGTTAACAGCACAGAGAAAGTCTAAGTGACAGTTAGGAGTAAATTAAGAATCGACATCATTTGTCTTGGTCTTCTCGGTCTCCCTGCAGCTTTAAATACTGTTGAACATTTGATTCTCTATGACCTTGGATGGTATTCACTGTTGCTATCCCTACAGTACCTTATACTGAATATTCTTTATAACATCTGATTAACACGAGCCACCATACGGCCTTGGGGAGCACGGCTGTACTGTAAAACTTCTGAAAGCGCTCTACAACAGGAGACAGGCAACAGTTATTACACATTCCTGGATGACACACCATTTTGCATTGCAGTAGCTCCTGATAACACAGACTGCATTATTATTGGGATTTTAAAAGTCATTATATTTCTGCAACACAACCAAAAGACAAGACAATGAATGGGGTTGAGTCCATGTTGAATACATTTGGTAGGAGTCATTCTGCCCTAAACGTTCAATTAAATGCCTATATGAGGTTGTTCCGAGTCAAATATGTGCTGCGGCTCACGCTGCTAAATCCAGTGTTGAAAGATGAATCTGCACCATCATCATTAACTGGCTGCACTATCCTGATGCGATCCATTCTGCTCTGCCTAGGAAAGCCACAGTTCAAAATCAATTCATATAAAATCATTCGTTATCTAGGACCATAAGAGCTCACATTGCATATGTTTTTGTAGTGGTTTCCTGACTTCTATTGTTTTTTAAATCTTTAAACAGTTCTGGGCCTGGTGTCTGATATGCGTCTAAGATACAAAATGTTCCCCCTCGATCCCTCAGGTCCTCTGGCTGTCTGCTGGCTGTCCTGTGAGCGCAGACTGATTCATGACCACGCTGCTTCAGCCATTTTGGCCCCAGCCTTTGGAACAGACTACTCGAGGCCATGATGATGTTAGGGTTACCTTAACTGTTGTTGTAGTTTGATTGCTTTTATTCCTAACATTTACTTCATCTTTTATTTCCATTTATTGAGGAGGCACATAGAATATAACGTTGGCAATGTTTATAGTCACACCTGCTTACGCTGCTATGGACTATCTGGCAATAATATTTTGCACATTCTATGTACAATTTTGCACTAATGTACACTCAAATACTGAAGTGACTGTTATTTTGTATATATTGATTGTTGTGTTTTTATTTAGGTCTTAATGTGTGAACATGTAAAAATGTGTCTTTGATTCTGTGTATGTACATATTTGGACACATAATTTAATATACATTTATTATTATATTCAGGATTGTGGGAAACGGTATTTCGATCTCTCTGTCTGTACACACAAACTGGGAGATTGACAATAAAGTAGACTTTGACTTTGCATGCACATCTGGTTTAATGTATTCTTCTCTGGATTTTATGTCAAGCCTCATTGGATTGATAGTACTATATAAATGAAAAGACAGATGTTGTATATAATAAGATGGTATAAAGGAAAAGGGAAAGTTAAAAAAGATAGCTTTAAAAAGTGGTAACAAGTGGAAACGGCACTAAGATTAGGATAAAAAGGCGTGAGACAAAGCCTCACTCACCAGGACGCCTTTGAAAAGGACATGAGGGGATTGCCATGACACACTGATGCCGTTCCCAGTCCCATGTCCAGGCCCGGTGCCATTACCATTGCCTAACCCAGCCAGCTCAGGGCCAGCTGGGATTCTCACTGGAGCAGTGGCCTGGAACATGGACCACCCCCCCGCCACAGCCAGGAGGGGACACAACAGACAGGAGGGGACACAGGGATAGCGCAGATAGAAACAGGGAGGAGGAGAGTACAGAAAAAAAGATCAAAAACTGAGCAGGAGAGGCATTTGTGAAGCTCTACTTATACAATGCACCTAAATATCAAAGGATCAGGTAACTAGAACAAACTGTGCCCACTGTGACAACTTTACAGAAAAGGTGCGTGTGTTTTACGATTAGAGATAAAGGAGACTGGCTCGGCAGCAAATTGATATCCTGATAAAAACTAGATATGGTCTCAGACTGTCAGATGCAGTATAGGTATTTGTTTTGCTGTTTCTGAAAGCTAAACTACAGCGTGGTGACGTCCTTTCTGAACTTTATAGACCCTCCAGAAAAACGCGATTCTGCGATCGCAGAATTTACCGCATAATCAGCAAAATGGCGCAGATTTCTAAAAGGCCGCATATTTATCAAAAGGCCGCATAATCCCCGCATTTTTCCACCCAAAATTGAGGAAAAAAAAGTTAACTCGTCTTGACGTGACGTCATCAGCTCGCGCATCACAGAATGTAAACAACACTGTATAGAGTGAACGTGTGGAGCTCACACGATAGAGAAAACACCAATATGAAAATATCTAATCCATCTCATTTACCGACGAACATTTCTACTAAAGACCGGGCAAAAAGTGGGGGGAAACTATTCTGCACCCCGTGCAACTGTGTGTTGGAGCATAAGAGAAAATCGACGGTGACGACCCACTTTGATTCATTCAAACATTCGAAAATGCTTTCTGCTGCTGCGGACAAGAAAGCCAAACAACTCACGTTCACGAGGCATCAACCTCCAAAACCCTTTCGAGGGCTACAAGAAACGAAGTGAGTAGCCTACAAGATTGAAGCTGCAGATAACGAACGAGTAAATGAAAACAGAATGAGGCGGAGAAGTGTGTGTGTGTGTGTGTGTGTGTGTGTGTGTGAGAGATTAAAATAGCCCAATTGCTTTTACAATAAATAAACATTGAATGTGTTTAATTGAATAGTAAAGGGGTTTAACGTTAGTGGCAGGTTGTGTGTGAGAGAGAATAAATAAGACAGCCCAATATTTTTTAAAAATCGATAATTTTTTCCCGCATATTTCGCAACTTTCCGCAGTTTCACCGCATAAAATCACATAAAACCCCGCATGTTTAATCGCATAATCAAGGAATTTAGCCCGCATAATCAAGGATTTTTGCCCGCGTTTTTCTGGAGGGTCTAACTTTAACTGTTATAGCTCTTCCATTATTTGTCCTCAATTATGTCCACATTATTGACAATCATTTTTAATCCAAAAATAACCATCTGTAAATATTTGGTGAAAGCACAAGCCTACAACCCACCATCGTGGTAAAGGACCTGAGATATTTGGTCAAAATGTTTTCGTATTTGATTTTTATACATTTTCTCCACGTTGCCCAGCCCTAACTGACAGGCAGATTATGAATTAGGCACACAACTGTTTTAATACCGCTTGAAGAATAGCAGAACATCTAGTTAGCGGTACTAAAGAGAAGAGTATAAGGACAGTGCATGACCAGTAGCTAGTGTAGTTTTCGTGCTGCATATATAAACTGAAACTCTATTTTCATGTGCATTTTAAGTTGTCATGGCAACTGAAAGTTTCACATAGCCTTGAACCATTGAGAAGGACTGAATTCAATATTCAATATAGAACGATGCTTATGCTTTAACCAAATGTGTTTCTCCACCTGAAACCATTTCATTTTCACCTTCAAGGGCATCCGAGTGAGGAGTGCACATGCATTTGTACAGATTGACGAAGAAAAGAAGAGGAAGGACGAGGAGAAGAAGAGAGAGGAGGCATGAATACCTAAAATGCTACAAAGCAGTTCAAAATAAATTCGCCGAGCAGGAATGCAAACATGATTTATTCTCTTTTCCTACTTTAAAATATTGATAATTTGTGTGAATTTGTATTCATATTTGCAAGTCTTTTTTTCATTTCTCTCCCCCACAGTGGTGTGGGAGTCAAGGATCATACTCTGACCCCGGGGCTTATTTCATACATTCATCTCAAAATCTTCCCCTGCAGATTCTCTACCATAGAAACCTAACACTTTGTGGCTTTGTATAATACCAACTAGGGCGATTATTTTAACTGACATGTTTAACTCTTGAGAGTACGATTCGTAGGCTTGAACCTCTCCGTAACACCCCTTTACTTCACTTAAAAATGTATTTGAACACATAATAAGCTTTTCAAAATGATTGTGCCCCTTGTGATTTGAATGTTGCACTAGTCCATGTTGCTATTCTTGATAAACTACCAACTGCTTAATGTTTTCAGGGTCATTGCATTAGAAATCAGATTTAGAAATGTGTGTATAAGGTGTGTGTGTTGTGTGAAATACCTGGTAGGCGTGGTCAGTGCGGATGTGGCAGAGGGTGGAGGGCGCTGATTGGCTGAGAAGCGTCGGGGTCGGGCTGTGAGAACTGTTCATGTTGATGCGTTCGGAGTGAGGGACAGCAGTGAGCGGTGGAGGGAAGACGGGCGGTGGGCCGCAGGTGGTGGGGGAGGTGGGGGTGAGGCTGGACAAGCCCTCCGTCAGGCTGTCCATGTTGATCTCGATCTCTGAGTAGTAAAAGTCCTCCTCTCCATCCGAGTCCGAGTCGGTGTTTCGCCTGCAGGAAAGGAGCAGCTTAGAAACTCTGAAGGATATCTTAACTTCTCTTAACTTATCTTAACTTCTCTTAACTCCATTTTAAATACATGTTCAGCTTTGAAGATGAGTGCTTTACTACCACAGCAGTGTTAAGATGCACAGCTGAAACACTCATCTTACTCATTATTTTTGCAGGCCACTCATTTTCTTTTATCTGCAAACATGTAGTAGTTGGCGCAGCTCAATAATCTAAAATTGACATTTCTTTGAGGAGCATTGACCTAATGACTGATACCTCCACTGGTTTATGTTAAGTATGCCTAATATGTTCATGCTGTTAGACACTTCTATGGAAATGAAACAGAAAACATTTCAGTGCACTAAAGGATATTGTTTATTTTGGGGGTTTTTATAATTTCAAATTGTATAATATTTATTTGTGGTTTCCCTTTATCTTGCTTTAACTATTAAGTATCATTTTGAAGCAAAGGCACAGACAAATACAGCCATTTTTTGCACACATTTATGTGTTTTTATTTATATGAAAAACATATTAAGAAGTAAAAAAAATAAATGTGTTCTCAAAGCATAAAAGCTCCATTTAAAACATAGTGACTTCTGATTGTAGTAGCCATTAAAGATGACAATAACTTTAGCAGTGATCTTCAATTTGACTGAACTGCCTCTGACCTAAGCACAGCTGTCACTTATAGATGTGCAGAAAGTGGTATTGCTTCCCAGCAGCAGGGGGCAGTAAGAGCCAGTGTGCTGCACGGCTGCTCAAATAAACAAGCTGGTGATGAAATGACAATAACTGTGAGGACAGTTTTTTGAGGATTTTCCAAAAACTAATGTTATAATACCTCACATGTACCTGAAGCAGTGTGTAATAACAGTGCACTGGATAGCTTCAATAAACCACACACATTTCTAATTATATTTTTTTAAGTATTACAAAACAAAAGGAATCGGTTTCTTTATATTTAGCTCTAAGCTGTACTACACAATCAAGTCGTATGTAAAGACAGTTAAGTGGCATCCACGCTGTGAGTAGTCATATATCCTTTTCTTGTATTACTACATTATTTAAATCACAGAGTTTAACATTTCTACCCACGAGTGGCAATGCCTCACTGACACCTACACAGTGAAAGTCTTTATCAAAGTGAAAAAAAGCCTGCAGTTGTGAATAAAAACAAACTTGAATACAAATAAAAAACAAACTTTTAAATACTGCTTGTTCCACTATAAAGATAATCAATGTGACTCATACATATCATCATATTGCCTGCTGGTGGTGTGTGGATGTGTGGGCGAGTGTGTAATGGTTTAGCTAAGACACAAGATGTGGCTGAATGCATAATACACAAACTAGGCAGCTTGTAATACTTTATGGAGAAACAAAACACTACGAGCTAAGGGGGTGAACTTTAAATACTGTGAAAATGATTGACAGCTTTAGTCTTAGGTTTATAGTCAAGAATCCTAGCTGGATTCATTAACTAAGCACTACATGAGTTCAGTTTTGAAACTCACCCCAGGTGGACGGTGCGAACGTGTCGCTGGATCCCTGAGGAGGTGCTGAGGACCTTTTCACAGTTCTTCCACAAGCACTTGAACATCACCTTCATGGAGTTCTGAAAGAGATGTTCCCCACATGAGTGTCAACATAAAAAACAAATATATGTAATTACATCTTTCCCTGTGTGAATATTTGCATGCAAGCCTTTAGTTTGCCGCTTTTTGTTAAATACCAATTATGTGCAATATATATATATATATATACAGTGGGGCAAAAAATATTTAGTCAGCCACCAATTGTGCAAGTTCTCCATCTTAAAAAGATTAGAGAGGCCTGTAATGTTCATCCTAGGT